GAGTCGAGCTAAGACTGATGACGTTTTTCTTAATTTGAACTACCTTGCTCCCAGTTCCATCTTAGGGGTCCAGTCATGCTTAATAGTGAGCACCTGATGAAGCTGTAAGGATTTCTCATATACAGAACAGTATACAAGGCAGGCACCGTTTTCCTTTTTTTTTTTTCCTAATTCTAAGAGCATAAAGTTGTTGAAGAGGTGAAGCTCATGAACACAGGCAATGAAATTTCTTTGGCAGATGACCCAGACCTGTGATAAATGCTTCCGCAGGGCAGCAGAGAAATTGCAACTCACTCTGGTCTCAGAATCCAGTATCACCTCTGCAACCTTGCTCCAAGGATTTTTTTTTTCCAAATAAGAACCAGGAAGGAGAAGCAAAATAATGGTTTCTTATTAATACACATAAACAGATATAGCATAGCATCACTAAACCATAGCATCACTTGTCAGGCAACTAGACCCAGTTTGGAACAGACACTTGTCCTGGAAAATACCACCTGGAAGGGCCTGCAATTAACTTGGTGTCTCTTCCTTCTTCAGGTGGATTCCCACACAGCTAGGAAATCTCAAAACCCCTCACTCTGTTGAGAGGGATGTACTTAATCATCTCAGTATTATTTTAGCTATCCAGAAATAATTTTAAAGGGTAATTTCCAGACCTCCTCTTTCCAATGATTCACCTTTCCTCTGACATTGTTGGTTACAGAAACTTGACAGTTCCCTTTCAGGGACTTCAACTGCAGCCTTTCAGACAAATGACAGACACTGTGGGAACCTCCAAGAACCAAGGCAGGCTGCTCACATCACCCAGCTTCAAGGCACAATAATTGTCTTCTTGCTTTCCAGACACCACAAGTTGGGTGCCAGCAGTCTTCCAGTCTCCTCCTCTCACCCACCCAATTTCCTACAATCCACACTCCCCCCAGGGTTGGGTCTCAGGACGCCTTTTCCCAGCTTCAGGAGCATTGCTATCCAATCCTGCCAGCCCAAAGAAACCTCAGCCAGAGAAAATTTTTTTAAGGAAATGAACTAGCTTCACAGACACCAAGTGAATGCTACTATCTCTTACATCCAGTCACCAAGTCCTGCTACCCACTGCAAAATCTGAAAGCCATGGCTAAGCCTGGGAAGCTTAGTGAATCAAAGGGATGCTCAAGGGCAGTGGTTAGATACTCTCATGCCAGCTCAAAGGGCAATAGTTTATCTGAATTTTACTGGCCCATATTCCTCTACGTAGTCCTTATAGACTATAAATTAAATCACCTGCTTTCATTTTTTCTTTTCAATGGAATACAAAGAACCCATGCATTACATCTTCCTTGTACTCCCCAGATTCTACTAACAATCAGCCAGGTCTCTCACAGCACATACTTGGGAAAACAGGGCTCCATAGCATGGCTTCTATGCCCATATATTGGTTAAAAGCAGAATTATTGGTAAAGAAATGTGTCTGTATCTATCTCTGAAGGCAAAATCCCATCAATGATCATATTTTAACATGAAATTAGCTGCCAACAAAGGCCTAGTAGCTGCACTTTGCTGTGGCAAGGAGGTCCTCAGAGACTTCACTGGTACTTTAACAGGACACTATTATCAGGAAGCTCATGAACATCCGACCTCCAGAGAAAAAGTAAATTATATGTTTATCCTTCAGAAAGGAGGAATTCAATATTCTAAAGTTTGTGGGGAAAAGAAAAAAGCTATACTGATTTCAAAAGAAAAAAAAATTACATTTTTATTCAGAACTGACTGGCAGCTGTGCTGCTCCTGGAGCTCCCCTTCTTTACATTCTAGGAATAAAAACTGTTTTAGTAATTTTAGATTGCCTATTTCCAGCATTGTTCCATGCCACATTAAAGAGCTCATTCATTTCCCATTATCACATTCTAGTTAAAATTAACACATAATCATTTTAAATGATCTGGCTTTCAGTATATTTGTAAACAAAAAATTAATCTCAAAGGAAAAGCTTTGAAATTGTTAAAAGTCATCCTGACAGAACTAATTAGTAAAACCACATTTTTACAAGTTTTGTTTTTGTTTGTTTGTTTGTTTGTTTGTTTGTTTTTAATTTAATGCAAGAAAATTAAGAATGTTGGTATTGTCAGTTGTACCCCCCACTCCTCAGAATAGCTTCCTTAACTAAGCAGTTGACACAGCTCCCCTAAAAATCTTTGGTAATGGGACATTTTAAATAGGAGACAAAAGACAACAAACACCACATAAAAACAGAATGAGCACCAGTTTCAGTATCTTGAGAATCAGGAATCAGCAAACTATCCTTGCCCTTACACAAAACCAAGGAACTTATACCTAGGGCTCCTTGTCAACAGAGAAACAACGGGCATCTTACTGTCATTTTTGCTGAAGGAAATTCAATGCAATAAGTAACAGAAAACTAAAATGCAGACATATGGGAGTTTTAACCAGGGCCAAAAGAAAAAGAGAAGGGAAAAACTGAAAGTTGAGAGGAAACAAAGTGAGAAGCACAGAACAAAGGGTAACATGCGTTTTGTCGACTGGGGGGATGGTGACCCCAGCACATGTGCACTTGTGGTGCTCACACAGCCAGCACAGTCTGTTCAGCTGTGTCAAAGAAGGAGTTAGTCTCCAAATACCGGCAACTGGAAAACATTTCAGATTCTCCTTCAGCCTAAATAGCTTGAATTATTTGCTCAAGACAGTGCTAGTGTTACACTGCAGAGAAAAAGTTCTGAACTATTAAGTGTCTAAATAGACACTCTATTTTCCAGAAAATTTCCACAGATCATGTTAGTTCTGATGCCATGCTTATGTACAGAGTTTCTCAGGGTTTGATGTGACCTCTCCTCTTTGGTGCTGATTATTAGTTGTAGACGTCTCCAAAGGCTCTCCCTTATCGGGAATGTATGCAGGGAATTAAAATGAAGTCACTTTAATAAATTATGAAGTGCTGATATGCAACACTGCATACAAGCGACCATATATATTTGTATGTTTGTGGAAAACTGCAAATAGATACTACAAAGTTACTGACAGACAAAAAATTCTATGGCTCTGTTTCACTGAGGAAAAAAAAGGCATCACTATAAAAAGGCTAAACCATAAATAATGTCCTAACTTCCCTCATCAGTCTAATATTCTGGTAGTCTGACGTTGCTGCATATAAAACACAAATAAAAGCTACATATGATCAAAAGAGACTCAGCTAGCTTTAAATACAGAGGACTAGGTGCTCTTCCAAGAAGAAAATTGGATTTTAAAAAAGACTGTTCTTCATCAAAAAGCAAGCAGCTAGAGAGCTCAAAATCCCAGACACCTCATCTGACAGAAGTGCTGCACAGTATCAGATCCCACCCTGCTCCACCCACAGCCCTCCCTACTCTTTGTATTTTCCACATGACACTAGACCTTATAAAACTCTCTTCTCTGTCACTCAGCACGATCCACAGTTTTGTCTTCTATATGGGTCAGTATCAACATGAATTTCTACATACAATTTGAGCCATGGTACCTACTTTTCTGTCTCTGCAGGTTGGGGACTAAACATTACATAAAAACCATCTCACTCACAAAGTCCTAAATTTAACTTGTGTTAACCTGTGTTCAGCTGTGGAGGTACAGCATAAATGAGCATATAACCAATCAAGATCCAAAACAAAGTATCACTTTTTGTTCAAATTTCTGCTTCCCTCTCAAGTTCGTATTGAGCACACCTGTAACTTTGAGTTAGTTTCACAAGTTTAGAAAATTGTATTTATCACAATGAACAAAATACTCTGGAAAGTGAAAGACAGTTATGGCATCCTAAGGTCTTCGATCAATTATCTAGCAGCACTTGGACGCCTTGATGCTTAAGGGCCACAAGTGGAACTGAGCAGTACCAGATACTCCATTAATACAGAGCAAAAGCCAGTCTTTGTTCAAAGGGATGAGACAGATATTAAAAACTTCAGCCTTAGAACTTTGGAATAGCAACAAATTAAACTCTCTAATGAAATAATTGGAAAAAAAAAAACAAACCACTGTTTCCAAAACAGAACGATGACAGAATTTCTTTTCATCCATCAGACAAGAAACCCCAAAGGTATTTTCAGCTGTTGCTTTAGTGCACTTGCCCCACTGCATGACCTTCTTCAACACAGCATCTGTCTTCCAAAATTTTATGTGAAAGTTTTAGCTATTTATACACCATGCCTTCTGAACCCTGTACTTTTCAGGTAGCACTAAATGTATTTGCAAGGCATTCAGCCTCCATATGAATCTTTCCTGCAAATTTGCTCAAATTGAAGGAAAAGTTTACTTTTGAAAACTATGATGTCATCTCCTTCCTCAGTAAGCGCCTTCCACAACCTACTTCAGCACATCCTTCCCATAACGCAGTGTGTGTCGCTTGCGGGTGGTTTTGAGAACTGCTACTCAGAAGTTTGATTTAGAAGACATTCCTTTAATACATCACATATATAGAAAACGGGTATGCATAGCAAGGAGATGACTGCTCGCAGCATATGTGTAAATCTCATAAAACAGCACCGGGGTGTTACCAGAAAGTAACTCTTCACTGTCAGTGAAGTTCCCTGCTGGCGGCAGCGGTGTCCTGGCCACATGTGAGGACACCAGGAGACGAGCATTACGGGGGTATGGCCCCTTTCCCCTATCGGTTCTTTTATTTTACGAGCCCCCGGCGCAAGTTTCCCAGGAGGTTCAGGGCACCTGGCGCTGCGCGGGCGGGAGGCAGCCGGGCGCCTCCCCGCGCGGCGGCCGCCCGTGCGGCACAGGGCGCTCAGGGACACGGCGGGGCTCCCCTCAGCGGAGTGGGAGACGCCGCGCCCGGGGCCGCTCACAGCCTCGGGGGGGCCCGGCCACCCCGAGCCCCCGACGGCCCGGCGGGTCCCGAAGAGGGACCCCGAGGTGGGGCAGGCGGCGCTCGCCAGGCGCGGTCCCGCACGCGGCCGGGAGCGCTCCCCCATGGCGAGGGGCTCAGGCCCCGGCCCCCGCACCGCCCTCGCCCGGCTCCTCACCTCCAGACCTGCCCCAGCTGCAGGATGTGGACGAGCGACTGCAGGAGCCAGATGCAGAAGGCGCAGGACGCGGACCGGCCGCCGCTGGCGCGGGGACCGGCGGCGCCGCTGCCGGCGGCGTTGCTGCTGCTGTTGCTGCTGCTGTTGGTGGCGTTGCCCTTGCTGGCGGTGGACGCCTGTCGCTGCGGCGTGCTGGGGCGAGCGGCGTCGATGTCCGCGGCCGCGGAGCTGCTGCTCACCAGCAGCTTGCTCTCGGCGGCGGGGCAGTGCCCGGCGGCGGCGGCGGCGGCGGCGCTGTCTTCGGTGCTGAAGTCGTGCGCGAACCAGCGGAAGCTGAAGACCTGCACAGAGAGGGAGCCCAGCAGCACGAAGAATAGGGTGAGCCCGAACCACCAGCGCTGGCCCCGCAGGTAGTAGTCGACCGCCAGCCAGATGTCGGTGCCCACGTCCGCGAAGTACACGGCCAGGGCGGCCAGGATCCAGAGGCAGTCCCACAGCGAGTAGCGCCGCTGCTCCCTGCCCAGTCGCAAGCACAAGGAGGACGAGCCCCCGCCCGAGCCCCGGGAGCCCCCGCCGCCGCCCCCTCCGCCGTCTCCTCCTCTGCCGCCGCCGCAGCAGCAGCAGCACCGGGAGCCGCCGCCCGAGCCGTCCCTGCTGCCGCCGCTGCTGCAGCACCCGCCCCCGGGCGCCTCGTCGTCGTCGCTGCCGCCGCCCGGCCCGGAGCCGGTGGGCAGCCCCGGGGCCAGCGCCTGCACGGAGCCCGAGTGCTCGGAGTTCTGCAGCGGCGTGAACGCCACCTCGCCGCCCTTCTTCATCTTCCGCCGCCCGTCCGACTTCGCGGCCATGATGCCTCCCTCAGCCCCGCCGGAGAGCGAGAGGGAGCAGCGAGCGCTCCTTTATCCCGCGTCTCCGCCTGCTCCTCCTCCTTCGCCTCCTGACTCTTGCCTCCCGCCCTCCGCCGCCGCGGACCCGCCGCTCCCCGCGTCCCCTGTCCCCGCTCCGCGCCGGGCTGCGCGCCCGCGGGCGGCTCCTCCGCGGCGGCCGCGTCCGCAGCGCCGCCTGTCTGCGGGGAGCCGCGCTCAGCCCGCCCGCCCCGCCACCGCCTCCGCGGGGGCCGGCGGTGCCGGGGCCGCCGCCGCGCTCCGCTCGAGCCCGAAGCAGGCAGGGCTGCGCTGCCCGGAGCAGCGCATCCCGCACCCGCCTCCCCGCCCGCCTCCGCCCGCACCCGCCGCCGCCACCACCCAGCTGACTGACGCCGGGAAAGAGGATGACCTCATCCCTCTTCCCTCGCTGCCGCCGCCCCCCGCCCGGCACCGGCACCGGCACTGGCGCAGGGGCGGGGAAGGGGGCGCTCGGCGGCCGGGAGGGGAGGGCTCGGCGTTGTCCCGAGGGTGCGGAGCACGGCCCTGCGGCGGCGAGGGGAGGCAGTGGTTTTGCCGCCCGGCCCGGGGAGGTGGGCGCGGCGGCGGCGAGGGAGCGGGTCGGCGAGGGAACGGGGCGGGGTGAGGTGTGGCCGGCACCCCCCGGGGCCGGGGCCGCAGGAGCAGAAGGTCGCGGCCCTGCCGCCGGCTCTACTGTCGATCTCCAGTGCCCTCGCAGCAGTTTGTGTTGCCTCTGCCCCGCCGGCGCGGGGTGGAGTGGCGGGACGCGGGTGGATGCGGACGGGGCGGACAGGAGGGCTGCCTCCCCCCACCCCTGGGCTTCTCGCTGCGAGCGGGGATCCTCGGACCGGGGGAAGCCGCTGCCGCCGCCGCCCCGGAGCGGTGACAGGGGGCCGGCCCCGGCAGCGATGCCCAGCCGTAACACCCGGCCGACGGAGCGGGAGCCACGGGCCACACTGCGTGGCCGCGCTGAGCCCCCGGCCCGGCGAGTCCCGCTGAGCCCCTCCCCGCTGTCCCGGCCGTCCCGTAGGAAGCGCCGCCGCCGCTCCCTAACTTTGTGAAACGCGGTTGCGAGGTGCAGCTCTCGGATTGTGCTGTGACTCACGCTGCCTCAGAGGCGTTCGGGGGAAGGTGAGGAGACACCGTTTTATTCCACCACCTGGAGAAATCGTGTTTTAGGCGTAAAATTCACTAGGCGAACTCACGATGCCTTTCACTGTTCCCCGCCCCTTTCCCCACAGCCGCGGCTGCACGCGGAGCGCGGCCGCTCCTCACACACAGCTCGCCCGCGTGTTTCGGGAGCAGAACTGGCCCCGCTGGCAGTTCCTAACTCGGACAGCGAGCGGCCGAGGCCGGGAGCGGCCGTCCCGGGCGGAGCCGGCGGCCGCTCACCGCCGAGGAGCACAGACCCCCTCAGGGCGGTCCGCGGCAGCCGTCGCTCTCAGAGCCCCGCGGGGGATGCAAGTGTACGCTAGCTACCCGCTCACGGACGGCCACCAGCCTCTTGCCTCTGGGAGTCACACGGGAGTCATAGGGCTTGGGCTGTTGGCTGGGTGGGGAGGCATTTGCCGCCTGCCCTTGGCCCTTCTGCCCTCTCTGTCCTCTTGCACCTCTAACCGTACAGAATGAGCAACTAAGTGATCTCTTCACATTTTAATTTTTTTTTTTAAACCTCTGGAATATTTTATAAGCATGCCTTCTCCCTTCTTAAAATAGAAGAGTGAGGTAGTTCAACCACGTTGGTAGAATATCTTAATAGGAATGGCAGTGAGACTGTGATAGGGCAGTGTTACGTTAAGCTATGTGACTAAATATAGTCCCTTTAAGTTCATTAATTAAACAGAAGAAGTCATATGGACAGCTGAAAAATCTGTCTTCAAACTCTTAAATGTACGTGGTAAGTATAAAATTGCCTTTAGGAAATTAGGTTTTACTGATATATACCCCAGATTTCAAGAAAAGACTGCAGCATGCATTACAGTATTATTCAAAGAGTGCTGAGCACACAAAAATCAAACTTTGGAAGATGAAGACCATACATGAAACTAATTTGGTTAGTTATTTTGCATGTTATCTCACAAGAGTCTTTAACTACATTGTCACATAGTGGTTCTCAAATAATACATACTTGCTGTCCAATCTCTGTTACCATGGTATAATGTTATTTCTTTTCCTTTTGGAACCCCATATTTTATTCTCACTACAATTCATATGATGTTTCTTGCCTTAGACTTGTAATGCAAATTGCTTCTTTCTCAAGATATCTTTTCATAATTTGGTCAGCAGCTATACATAATAGAGTACATTCATTTAAGGTCCCTTTCAACCCAAACCATTCTATGATTCCAAGATCACCTTGTCAGCAGAGAAGGTGCTTAATAACAAAGCTAATTTAGTGGCAAGTTTATGGTTTATATATATCAACAAGTTTCCAGCATTATTCTATTTCATAGAATGGTTTGGGTTTGAAGGGACCTTAAAGATCATCCGGTTTCAATCCCCTGCCATGGGCAGGGACACCTTCCGCTTTACCAGGTTGTTCAAAGCCCCATCCAGCTTGACTTTGAACACTTCCAGGGATGGGGCATGCACAATTTCTCTGGGTAACCTGTTCCAGTGTCTCACCACCCTCACAGTAAACAATTTTTTTCCTAACATCTAATCTAAACCTGCCCTCTGTCAGTTCAAATCCATTACCTCTTATCTTATCACTATATGCCCTTGCAAAAAGTCCCTCTCCACCTTTCTTGTTGTCCCATTAGCTACTGGAAAGTGCTATACAGTATCTCCAGAGCCTTCTTATAGTTACATCTTTAATAAAATGTTATAGTGTGCACTTTAAGTTACTTTAATTGAGTCTGTTTAACATGTACAGGTCTAAAAGATGCCACAAATTTATAATGGAGGTTATAGTGTGATGCATGGGTGAGAGTGATGGAACAACTGTGCTCCTAGACTTGAAATCCTCACCTAAATTGCTTGGGCTGTAGGTGGAGTAAGAGAGTTACTCAAACGTGTCAGATTAAGATGGAGAGAATAAAATGGAGGAGAACAAGGTCCAGCTTACTAAAAGGGCAGAAGGTGCCTCTGAGCAATGCAGTAGAAATTTAAGAATATAAATGGCATCAGTTCAGCTGTACATCATCTTCGGAAGTCATGGTAGCCTGTTTAAGGCTACTCCACTGCTTGCCACTTGGAGGAGGTAACTGCTGGGGCCAAGTGTCCCTACATCCTCCCCTCCCTTCTCCTTAAGTGGGGCAAATTTTCTGGTATGTTTGCCCTGAACCACTTCACTAAAGGGTGAATTTGACCAAAGGAATTGATCCATCTTCCAGGAAGACTCCAGTTCACCACAGTGGGTTCAGACCTGTAAATCTGAAAGGTGTTCAGTTTGCCCAATATTTTACTGTGGTGGAGAGAGTTTTACATATCCTTTCCTATATTTTTCTGTTCATTCTCCCCCTCCCCTTCCCTCCTCTCCCCTCCCCTCCTCAGTAGTGGATTCAGCTACTGTTGCATTTGAGAGGGAAATAATATTTCCCACTGATTTTCATGTTAAAATTAACTGTCTGTTAAATGAAGACAGTGCATTAGATGAACACTTAAATTAAAGGCTGTTTGATACGCTATAAGAGGAATGTCTTCTGTTTTGTTTTCTCACTTTAAAGATAACAAATAAAAGGCATCCCAAATAATAATAGTAACAGAACCAAATTTCCTCTTTGTTAAACTGACATAACATCTATGGAGCTATCTCAAGGCCAGAAGAGTTTGTATATACACAGTGTGCAAAGCAGCATGCATTCAGCTAGCCAATGTTGGCACTAAATCCCAGAAATTATTAATTACAAAATATAATTGAACGGCAAAAGTGAGATCACATAAATACATATTTCCTAAACCAAGTACAGAAAAAAAAAAATATTTATTTCTCATGTGAAGGTAATTTTTGTCTGAAGGAGATTTTATTCTTGGCTTTCTTTTTCTCCAACTTTCTTTAAAGAAAACATTTTTATGGATACCACTGCTTTTGTTCTGAGTTACGACTCCTGTTTCCCTTTTTTGCCCCTTACAATATCTTATAATCTATGTCTACTTTAACAATACTTTTTGTCTGTGTGTCTTTCTGTTTTTTCACTGCAGACCATTATCAATTGAAACCTAAATGTCCAGGAAATAAGCTTCTGGGTTCCAATCCTCTTATCTTTACTCAAAAGTATTTTTTAGCTCTTCGGGTTCCTGATATGTTTTTCTAAGTCTTCTTTAGCTATATTGTACAAACTGCCATTTCAAAATACACTCAAGCTCTTGCTTGCATATCTCTCATTTTGCCATTAGAATATCAGTATACTGTACAGGTCTAATAATTTTTTGCATAAATTCATTCCAAAGGATTCCAAAATCTATTTTCTTTTGTTTGGCAGTACTTTTGGCAATTGCAGTTTAGTGCTTGATGTTTCTGCATTTTCTTCTAGTTCAGACTAACTGAAGCATTAGAATGAGCTCATTGTACTGGATTTGACACATTATGGAAGCATTCTGACACAAAAGCCTGACTTTCTGGCTGTCAGTCCCTTGGGGAGTAGTTCTGTGTCATGAAGGAGCTGTGCATAACCCTACTGTCCTGGCAGGGCTTGCAATGGACCAGTCTCTCCTGCTGAACAAAGCTCCTGAGCAGCCCTTCTTAGAAATAAATGAAGTCCTAAGCCGTAAAGAGTTCTCTGGTGATGTCTTCCAGACCTGGTGAATCTGCTAGCAGATCTTCCTTCCTTCCTTCCTTCCTTCCTTCCTTCCTTCCTTCCTTCCTTCCTTCCTTCCTTCTCTCCTTCCCTGCCTCCCTCCCTTCCCGATGAACATTCGTTTTCTCATTCACTCAGACATAGCACTAATTGCCTTTTTGCCCAACAAGCTTCATTCACAACAGGCACATGCCACTGTGTGCTCTGATAACAGAGTTACTCCATAGCAAAGGAAGGATGCATTTCCTTTCAATGAAGCCTATATTTCAGCAAATTAATATAAGCACAAATCAGAAATACATTGGTAAATTGGTATGCTGTTTAGAAAATTAATATTAGAATACTATATCTTTTTAAAACATACTTAAACTTCATGGTGAATTGGGCCTGTAGTTTCTTTTATTATATTTCCAGAATGTCTAAAGATTAGAAACATGTAAATACATTCAACTGTATGCTCTAGATCGATAGATAGGTAGACAGACTGATAGACCTGATTGATTCCAGGTTTAAGCAGACAGAGAATAGCCATGCTTTGATGACAGCATCTGGATTTAAATATTACTTATGAAAGAAGAAATTATTTCTTGGAATTTTTGAGAGATTGAACTCAGAATTTCTTAAATTTACATTTGTTGTTTAGAAATGGATTCCAGTCACCTTTCAAGTCACTTCATAGTATGTATTTAAATATATAATCAAAGATAGACCTAAATATATATGGAATGATAGAAGAAGACATAGCCATATAGGAAAACATCAAGGAAGCAAACTTTGTACAATACTGACAACCCTTTCACTGTCATTGTGCATGCAGAAACCAACCAACAAGCAAGCATATTTCTTTTTATGATAAATGGGAAAAGCATTTATGGAATGCCTAAGGGGATATTAACATGCCCTCTCACACTGTAAAATGTAATTAAGAATTTTCAAAAGTTTGAAGAAGAAAATTAAAATCCCCATTTTCTTTCCCATTTTTGATTCATCTGTTCAAAATGAATTCAAGTCGAGCAAAATGATTGTAAGACAAAGATTCAACTAGCACAGAAGTTACGACACTGCTTTGCACTGTTCAGTACGGAGGATTTTATGGACTTTTCCAGTCTACTGCCTTTCTTTGTGGAGAAGTGCAAAAGAACATTTCAAACTGATATGTCAGCAGAGGTGGTTTATATTTGCAAAGACATTTATAAATACTAACAATGGAAGACTAGATGTTATCTATCCAAGACATCTAAAGAAACTCAAAAGGCAACTTGGTACTTCCTTTTTTCTTATTCTCATGCCATTTCCACAACTGACAAACTACAGGGTGGATAGATGCAATATAACTGGTTGTATGTACTTAAAAGGAAGGAATTCTTTCTTATGTATGATGAGTTTCAGCAAGGCAGTACTTGGAGTTGGTGGGAGAATATTAAATGGTCCAATGAGCCAGTCAGAGCATTGTTATATTTTTTTCAAGTCCTTAACATCATCAGCAAAAGAAATGAAGACGCTTAACGGCTTAAATTGGCAAAAATGTGTCACCTAGGTCAACCTAATAATATATATAACAGCACGCCAGGAGAAGTGGATGAAGAAAAAAGATACAGTTAACCAATACTGGACCTTTAATGGCCATTTTCAGACTCTATTTTGTCTAAGAGTCTATATTATGATCTTCAGGGTATATATTTTAGTACCCAGCTCCAGGTTTTCTCTGCAGTGCAAAATTAAATTAAGAATAATGACAATAATGATAATAACAACAATAGCAGCAGAATCCTCTAGCCACTGCCCTATTGCACAGATCTTCAAGGACAGGTTGCAGCAGGGAGAGGCAGTTGAAGACGAACCCTTCTCTCTACTACAGGTTTACCTTCTCCAACTGATAGAGTTCTCTCTCTGCTCCTTCCAAGACTTCTTTGTGTGCCAGATTCATTAGTTTCTTGTTTACCCAGGCAGACTCTTTTCCATGCTACATCTCCGTTCCCCACAGAGGCATCAGTGGTGTCAATATATGCCCAGGTTTTCCATAGGCAGAGCAGGGTGCTGGGAGGAAAAAGACAGGGCAGCACCCTTGCTGTGTAGGAACAGCAGAGTGCACACGAGGAGGCAAGTCTGTAATGTCCCTGTCTTTGGCCTGCAATTTTTCCAAAAATCATCCCACTGACAAGGGAGAGAGACTAAGTGACTTCTGTGCCAAACACAGCAGACATCACTGTATACCATGTGGAAGAAACACATTTGGGGTTTGGCACTGGTCACAAGCTAAATATGGCAACTGGCATGTCTTCCAAGAAAGACTTGAACAGGAGGCTATATGGTATTTCAGGTTTTCTTACCAAAGTGAAATCGCCTGCAAGCACCCATGATGCTCTTGAAATGAAGCCCTCTGCTATGGTGGCCCTGTTAGTGGAAGGCTTAGAGAGGTGTTTACATGGCTCTGGATCAAGGGAAGAGAATCAAAAACCTGATTTGGACACCCCATAGGTAGAGAAAATAATTTTCAAATATGGAAGGCAGCTGCAGAAGGAGGATACTCACTCTTAGTAAGGAAAAACAGATTAGGAAGGCACCATTTACACTTGATAAATCAGAAATGACATCAAAGAGAGCTAGTATTACAAACTATTAATGAAAGACATAATAATGAAACAAATCACATAATAGATCACAATGAAGTGATTCAGTGTAATGAATACTGATACTAAGTAAGTGAACTGTGCACTCTGGGGATACAATTTCAAGTCCATTCCAGAGAGCATGGTAGCAAAGGGAGAAAGAAAAAGCACTTCTAGAAGAAATTGAATCTGTTCCATTGCTCACATTTACCACATCCACACCTTATACCTTTTGATGACATAGTTAGATAAAGGTAGATAAAAATGATATTACCTACCAAGACCAATTATATGCACTTATTGTTTTGTGTCAAAGTAACAACTGAGATCTCCACACACATACAGATTTCAAGCATCCTCATTTCACAGAATAATGTGAGTAAATAAACATTAAACATATTAAAAAGACAGCCAGACAATGTTTCATCAACACAGATTAGAAACTCATTTAATTCTTGTGATTATAGAAAGCACATAGCTGATACAGAACATGATGGCATCTTGAGGGTGAAACAGGTCTAAATTTCAAATCTTCATAAAGATTTTAGGTTTTGGATGTACAAAAGGTGAAGCCTTTGATAAATGGAGGGATGACCTATGTAGCTTATATACAATATTTGTATTTTGATCACACACATGAAACTTCTGGCGATGTGCAAGTCATGATTTCAGTTCAGACTTGCCTAGATCCTAAACTCTTCCTGAGTCAATTCTGACAATATCAAAGCCTACCAAAACAAACATTAATTTGTGCATCTGTAGCTAAATATATTACTATTTATTGTGCATTTGCAAAAATAATTGTTCGATTTCTTTCTTTTTTTTTTCTTTGAAGGGAAGGCATTCACGCATATTGCACCGGAAAGCCAGTTAGATAGCTAAGGACAGGCACTGCAAAAGTCATTGTGCTGAGCAGGGAGATGCCTAAGCCTCCCAGTAAGCTATTGCAGTGTTCCTGATAACAGCCTCTCTTAAGACACTTTGGATCTAAAGATTCACAGCTGAGTTTCTGTCTCAGCTACAAGATTTTACAGTCAATGTCAGAGAGAGGCTTACCAACACAGGGTGAACTCCTGAATAACAAGGTCTTTATTACTCTCTGTTATGGTCCTATAGAAAAGAGCAGCGATACATGGTAAGGCTGAAACATTGTGCAATTTGTTTGGAAAATGATTTAAGAAAATCTAAATTTTAATAAATGTTGAAATTGATAAAGATTCATCAAATTAGTAAATACTGACAGATTTGATACAAGAGCTAAACTTAACTTACCCACAAATTATTGCTGGAACAAAAATATTTGAGTATGTTACTACATATGTCTACCATTATGATTGCTCAGATCAAGTCCGCAAACCATGTTACATATTTAAATTTCTGATATCGAAATTTCAGTCATGCAAAGTTTTCGAGCATTTCTAATAGGATCACACTTCTGTGTTCACATTAGACACATTTAATTTACTGTGATGTTTTTAACTCATTGTTTTGACATTTCTGCACAAAAATTACAATACCTTCAGAATTATAAAGTACAATCAAATCAAATCAGCATGAATTTGGAGAAGCAACACACTCAGAAAGAATCAGAAATCAAGCTGCTATGGATAAAGTTGCACTGCGGTGAGGCCATCACTTTCATCTTCAGAAAGCCACCTTAAGGAAAAAAACATAAAAACCTGTCATAAACACAACACATGTAAAACTTAATAAACAGACAACTCGTGAGAGCCTGTTTCTGCACCTTTGGTTTTCTAGGAGAGCTTTTACATTGGTTTATCCAGAAGCAGAAACCAACCTGAAAAAAAATAGTGATTTTTTTTTTTTAATTTTTGTTTTAGTATCCCAGTATATGTAATTTAAAAGTGTAATTAACTTTATGGGTATATTTATGAAATATACATTTGTTTTATTTCTTGGTCATATGGGTAACCTGTAGTTCACCACAAAGAGTGACATAAAATCAGGATAACTCAGAGCAAGGAAACCTGTTCTGTGATAGCAGATTATTGTTCTGGTATTCCATTCCCATGACTGTTTATTTCTCGTGTCTCTTTGTTGGTTCACAACATACTGAGTTGCATAGTGGGCTCAATCCTTGCTCTGTAAGAGCCTATGGAGGTTTTACTGTTGATTATATGGGAAATAAGCCTGAGTCCAAAACTCAGGTAGACTGGTGTTAACTGGAACCATGGATACAGTGGAATTAGTATCTAAGAGCCTATGGAGGTTTTACTGTTGATTATATGGGAAATAAGCCTGAGTCCAAAACTCAGGTAGACTGGTGTTAACTGGAACCATGGATACAGTGGAATTAGTATCCAAAGAGAGTTAAAAAGCTTCTAACACTTTTGGAAGGTTTATAACAGTCTACCTCATGTGATATCTACTAAGGAGGTAGTATGGGAGGGATTCCTAGACATTAGTATAGCATTAAGTAGCTCACATCTGAAGTTGCACCTTTCAACATCTGGGAGATATGGCGGAAGCTAAACACTTCCAGGTTGAAACACAACTAATCTTGGCAGCTAAAATTGCATATGGATGTCACAGAGCCTAGGAAAGGTGTGATGTGTAAGGTAGACAACAGGCATTTAGATGGGTTAACAAAGGATTTGGGTTTTTCAGTGATGACTATCTTTTAGAGACATTGTTTGTACCAGATGAGTCTTTTGATGAGAGAATGAACCATTCCCCATTTACATGGTAGGCTTGATGAGGAGCTCCATGTCTCAGCTGGAAGAGGGACATGAACTTACAATTTCCTGTATTTTAGGAGTGCCCCAGAGCCTCTGGGTCACTGAGTACTCTGGGGTTAACCTCCTAATCTCTTCTGCTAAAATACTTCCATTTTGGGTGAGTAGGTATACACCAAAGTAACCATACATCTCTAACCCACCAAGGCCCCTATTAAATGTCCTAGTCAGCAGCATGTAGAATCAATCTGTGTCAGTCGCTCCCCCACATCAATGACGTGATTCGAGTTCTTATGCCAAATGGGTCTCTTACATACCTTTGTCGTTTTACTACAATACTTTAAATAAAATTGAAAAAAAAATCTCTGGGAAAAAAATGTTTGTTGCAAGCTATCTTTTTCAAGAATCTTCCTCTGACTGGTGTGATCTGAAAACTCTTACAAGCAGAAGAGATGGAGTGTCATCAACTGAAATTCCGTTATGGATTGTGTTTCACAAAGAAGTGATATTCTGGTTTAAGGATTTTTGCTCCTGTCCACTAACTTAAATTTAGGTATTTGGAAGACTAGATAGTATCTGAGCATGTGTTTGGAGAAAGTTAAGTGAAGTTTAATGTTGTTGAAAGACGTCTAACATTGTTAGGGTCATTAACAGCCTCACATTCTCGTGACTTAGACTGTAGAGTACAACTGACTATCCAAAAACCAAAAAAGGTACTTTTTTGGGTTCAGGGTTGGGATTTGGCTTTCGTCAACTGTTAAGTTTAGAGACATATTTAGGGAAAGGATAAATTAAATATTCTTGGCTGCCATTTCTGTTTTCAGACCACCAGGTAACATTCCTCTCTCTAGGTACAGGGAACTTATAAATTTTCACACTTATGTGTTCTCCAGGTGCATTAAAAAGCTGATTTCCTCTTAGGAAGACATGAACATGTTTGTTTCAGATGCTTATTCTGAAATTCTTCAAGCTGTGAACTGTACACTATAGTGAGCAGTCACTCCAAATATACCCTTCAATTTAATTTCCAACTTTTGAAACTGTACTGTTTCAGTTTGATGCAGACTAAAGTGCATCTACTTTTTGCACACTAGAAGTCCTTTACACCAGGACCTCAGAATCCAAATAAATTTAGAAATTTAGGTCATCATCCTCCTACATCACATCATATAAAGCTTTCTTTTGGTTTTATCTTATTTGCTGAATATATTTTGGATCCATAGTAAGCAAACATAGAAACAGAATGATTCTAATGTTTTAATGTTGCCTTTTTTATCAATAAGATACACTCCTTTTTCTCCAGTTTTTTATCTATACTGCCATATCCTAACATCCTCCTTTCTGTTTCCCTCCCATGTCTGTTTGCTTATCCATGATATGTTTGTCAGAGCCACATATACATTAATGCTTGTATAATGGTTCGCCAGACACCTTCTACCTTTGAAAATACATACAAATACCTTCTCTTGGCAAAGGCACTAAACTGTATCTCTCCCTTCTGCAGTCATTCAGTTTTAATTTCTTGGAAAATATAGTGTTTTCTTCTAACAATTCTTCTGACAAATTAGTTTGAAATTGGCCAAATGGTTCAAAATTCTTTGGCGATGGACTGATAGCAACACAGTATGGTATAAAAAAGTTCTTACTGTTTTAGAAAACCAGAAGAGAACCAACTGAGAGACTAAAAAGACTACTACTAATTCTTGTGGAGAAGAAAATGGTTTGTACAGAGTGATGATGAACTGATCTGCTGACCTGTTACAGTAGAAGCAATACACTGAATTTCTAGATGCATCTGTGATTTCCACTTTTTCCAGAAACCAGCCACTTGCTGTAGAAGGAAAAAAAAAAGGAGAAAATTTAATAAAACCAAAACACAATTAGAGTATAAGAAGTGTTTCTAATTTCATATCCAAACCCCATGTGGTTCAATACTTCCAAGTGTATTCAACATCAATAATAAAACTGAAATGTAGATAATTCAAATTACTACCAACTTCTCTCAGTTTTATAGGGAAGGTCTATGATGTTTTTGACAGAAAATGTAATGGAAAATTTTTGTTACAACTTAACTTATTTTTCCATATTGAACAGAACAGGCAACAAGACAAATGAAACAGAGTGCATGGTAATATTGAATACGTTCTTGAAAACCCATTTTGCCCTTTTTCGTACTTGGAAATGTACTCCACATGAACCCCTGGTGGGCATTCTACTGCTCCCTTCTAATTAATATATTGATATGTATATAAACCAAGTGGTGAATCTGAATGCTCCTTATAATTCTATCTCTCCAGTACCGTGATTCAGAATAGCATCTCCATTTAGGTCAACACTCACATCTGTTTCAGCTTTAAGAATGTATTAAATATTATACTATAATCTCCTATTTTGCTGTGTGAAAAATATCTTCATTCTTGTGATATAGAATTTTATTTCATGGAATATTAAAATATTAAGATTTTAAAACCAAAACTTTTATATATATATATGTATACAATGTTTTTGCTGATATCTTTAGTTGTGTTTGCCAAGGCAAATATTAATGACAATATTTTAAAACTAATTAGGACTATACTGCTATTAGCTGACTACCTTTTAGCATTCTTTGCATGTCCTACAGATAAAGAACTATATTCTATCAAATTATTTTGGTTTTCAAATATTTGGACAAAGTTCTAAATAGGCTAAAACCAGTAAAAATATTTTATTTGTAAGTAGATTAAAAATGTAATGTGAAAATATTTGTAAATTGTTTCAATTTGAACAAAATGTAAATGCATTGCAACTTTTCTCATTTTTCATTGGCATTTTCAAAAAAAATAGTTGGTATAACTAGGCCATGAATGTGTCTAGGTTTTCCATCTTCAATTCACAAGATTCATTTATTGATATTGTGAAGTACTTTTGGAACTCCTTTAATGAAATCTTGTGAATGGTTTAATATATCATAGACTCGACTTGGAATATATGACCTTTCATGAAATCTCTAATTCATAGTCAGGATTATCAGCAATAAAAATTTACGGTCTCTCAAATTTACACAGCATTTTACAAGAGAATATAAAGGCATGTTTGTGCTCTTGAAAAGATCAAAATCTAGTGCTTCCTCCTTTATTGACAAAACTCCAACAGACACCTCTGAAATATCCAGGTATGGATAAATCCAGAGGCATCTAGGAAACAGATGAAACATTTCAAAGAGCTGTTACATTTGAGGAAGCTTGTGAAGGTAACAGCTGATGTGACAAGAGACACTTGGAGATAATTTCAGAGAAAAATTTAGAGGAAGGTAGTCATGTCTGTAAGATGAATTGACACACACCAGCTGTGCTAGGAAGGCAGTATTAGCAGCTATGTGATGTTGATCAGGGCACAGAGAGAAAAGATAATAATTTTGTTGATAGTTTGGGATCCAGGAAATGAAAATTCAACCTATTATTTCCCCTACAGACGTCTGTGCAACTCTCAGAGTACCAGAAGTCTACCGGTGTAGAGTTCCATTTCCACACTGGGAATCAGTCCTAAACTGAATTGTGTACATGCACAGCAGGATGAAAGTCAGCAAAAGGATCTTATTTATTACAGGTATTTCAACAGGTTTGGTGATTTTTCTGTTTGAATTTTCAACAACATGACGTATACAATGTGACTGGTACTTTGGAAAAAAACACCAAACCTGTTCAACTTTTTCCAAATAAGAACTGCTATTTGCAGAATTTTGCTTGGTTCATTCTAGAAATGATAAACCCTTGCCACTATATAGTGCATCATGAGCTTAGATTAATCAGATTTTATTAAACCTAAAACTCTATTTCTTTGAGATGGGTTAAGCAAATTTCACCTGACTAGAGTATCTCAATACAATCAGACCTTTTTGACTCAAGTTATACATTGCCTGCAAATTTAGTTTATGTATTTGTATGTCTCTATATATCTGTATACATCTGATATCTGTATATTCCTAGGGTTTTTTAGCACAATTAAATTTAAGCTCAAAAGATTATATGCTGTAGTCTCCCACTTAATTTTTATGTAAAATTCAGGGTTTAGAGGTTACCTGTAACGCACTGTACATAGAAACATTTTCCGTCGTCATGTGTGGTTATGTACTATAGCCACATCCTCACCTAACATCAGGGCAAGACCTAGTGCACACTAATGTTCTCTTCACACTTTCACAAGAAGAAAAGCCCTATGTGTGTGAGAGGGAGCTACAGCATGCTTTGACCAGAGTCCAAAACTTGCTCAAATCATGGAAAGTTTAGCCTGCAGTTTGAAAATTCAATCCTATCTTATGTAGGACATCTAATAAGGGTTTTGGCTGAGCAATGTTTGAAGGATAAAACCATCTGAGGTTTATGTTAACTTGATCTCTATTAGAAAAAAAAATTCAAATTAAAGTCAAGGGAAATGTGATAGACAGAGGGGGTGAAAGCAAGCACAGTGAATCTGACCTCATTTGTACACAGATTTGTATTAGCTAGCTGTAGCATAGTATGACTTCAAACACCTTTCCAAATGTCAGGCAGATCTTTAGGCAGAAGATTTTTACAAGGCTACTGAACACAGGCAGTATACTCACCGAATCCTTTCCCATCGTGACCAATTTCAATTGAATACAGGCTGCCTAATCTTTTTGTCTTAATCTTGAATGTATCGACCTTTAATATTAAAATACAGTTATTAAAAATATTATACCTATACCAATGTTTGGAAACTTACAAATTTATTTAGGTCAGTTCCGAGATTAATTAAAATATAATAATACCAATTCAAAATAGATGAGTCACAGATGATTTATTTTCCATACTGAAGATGGTGGTATAGATCCTGTCCTACTAGGTCTCAGTTTAAACAGAAAAGATTCACTTTTCAGTTTATAGTAGGACAATCTCCACCTCTTTCCTGACTTTTGTCTACCAGAAAAACATTTTTTGGTCTCATGGATACTCAACTGATATGGTCTTCTAAAATGTTGTTTAGTATATAATATATAAATAAATATTCAAGAACATTAGAGAGAAAGGCTTTTGCTACACGTACCATTATGTCTCTCAAATAGTATCTACTTTAAAATATTACCTTGTTTCATATTGCAGATTTTTTTAAAATGAGATTCTTTTTTCATAAGGCATTTGACACCACTGGCTACCCATTGGCTTGGCTGGATTGCTAACAGGATTTCTATGTATCTACTCTTCTTTTTCAAAAAGTAGAGACACCTCCTGCATAGTAGTAGGCAAAAGGAAATACTGCTCAAGACACTTTTTTAGTTGCTCCTTGTGCCTGTAGTTAACCAGATTTATTAACCTCCTCAGTATGGAAGACAATTCATGAGTAAAGATCTTTTAGAAGATAGTCACAGGTATCCTGGCTGAAGAAACTTGGACCAACTGCAGGTAAAAAGATGTTTAGTAATACTGAAGAAAATGAGGTACATCTCTTAAGGAAGATATTTTCACTTGAGTTCTAATTATTCAGTCATTACCTGTCAATAAATCCACAGGAGAAAGATATGGAAAATATATATATATTTCTTGTTACTTAAGGGTAACCATCATTGTACTCTGTTGCACAGGTGGTGACTAAATGGAGCAATTGCTTTGTCGGAGTAATATGCTTATTAAAATAGGAGAACAGTCAACTAAGGTACTAGGACATAATGCAGAGAGTCTGCATTATTATGCAAATATCTGTATCTGAATTATTGGGTCTCTCAATAACAGCCTAAAGCAAGATGGATATCAGAAATAGGTTGATGTGTATGGTTCCACTTTATCTGGTTATAGGCTTATACATTCAGTGAGGCTCACAGCATCAGTTTCCATGGCAAAGTAAAATGATGGGATGTAAGAGACTGATGTATCCTCATGCACAATATTCAAAGTTTGTGCAACAGCATGGGATATTGCACATATATGCACATACACAGGCAATGCATGTTGTGCATTTCAGAACAAGGAAATTAATAACTGGGCGGATAAGTGGATGTAATATGAAGATGTATTTGGGACTAAGAGACAGAAGAGCAACAGAGACAGCAGAAGTAAAATGTCCCTTGGTTACTCTGGTGAAAAGGTGAAACAGAGATAGCTGAGAAAAAATCTCATCTAACGACATAGAAAATAGAATAAAATACCTAAAGTTCTCTAAAGAACTTGCAGAGATTTAAAATTTGCTTTTCCAGTACAGAAACGGACACAACTTGTAAAATCTGTGTACTCACCTTTCCTCTTTCAAAGGGGTTTTGATGCTCTAGTGACTGAGAGAGTTGAAATACCTCAGATTTGTCCTCATTCCCAAATAAAATAATATGCACATTGGCATCAGTCCCTGCTCCCCTTTTGTCACCTGTGTACACTTTAATAGTATACTCTGTCACATTTCTTGCTTGACTTTCTTCTTTATTTAAGTTGTTATCGATGTCATTTTTTTGTTTATCTCCTCTAATAACAAAAGATCTTGGGATATCTCTCTGTATTTCAGGCTTATTTGCACCCACAGAAAATTCTCTGAAAAACAAAACCACATATGATTTTGTGGTAAGTAAATCATATGTTAAATCAAAAAAATCCTATGAATTTATGTGGAACAGTTAAAGATGGATTTATTTTTCAAATATCTCTTTACAGAACCGCTCTGATAGTTACTTTGATTCAGTGTCTGCTCAGTGTTTTCAGCTATTACATTTTAAGAAAACATTACTAACTTTACATAATATACTTACCCATTCATTTCAAATACATAGATAGGATACTCCTTTGCAGCTTCTTTCACTTCCAATTTTTTAATGCTCAGTTTGCAGTCTACAAAGAAGGAAAGAGTTAGGTAGAAATGTTGCATTGCATGTCAAGAAATTAGGTAGACTCTATTGTTGGTATAATGGTGTCATTCCTAATATATTAAAACATCATTTATTAATTAATTTATGAATGCCAACAATTGAGTTAAAAATGTTGGAATCATTACAAGATTCTTTATTTTGTTCCTATTTGTAAACCTCAGCTTAGAAATTTAGGAGTAAGCATTTCCTTTGTCTTAATTAGTCAAGCAAAGGAGTGTTGTCTTCACCATCCTTGGACAGGCAAGCAGAAAAAATTCAGCATGACTGAGGCAGGCACATCTGAGAAGGAAGAACAGAAATACACATCTGGTGTTTCATCCTCAGCGAATGTTTGACAAAAGGGCTGGAGCTCTATTCCACACGCAGCACAAAGAAGTTAGGTGGCAGGTATGAAGAAAGTTCAGCAACTCACTGTATCCCTCTGCTGTTTGAGAAAGATTGCACTCTGACTTACACTACCTTTTGAATTTCCTGCTGGGGGTTTCACTTCAGCTACATGGCCTGAATCTCTTGCCACTAGTTAGTCATGAAGACTATTCATTTTCCCTTCTCTTCTATTATTTGTCGCTTCAGCCCTGTTCAACAAACTGCATTCCAATGTCTTCTACTACTGTTTCAAGTAGTCAATAGAATATAATAAGACTCCTGTGGAGGAATCCAGGACATTGTGTTACACTTACAACCTGCCAAGATAGTGCAGAGAGCGAGTCAGAAGCTTCAGGAAGGGATCTTGAACAACCTGATCTTAAAAACCTGCTCAGATACTGAATGAAAGTATAAATATATTAGAGCAATACTCTGCCTGGGCTGACCAGTCCTGCAGGATACATCTGACTTGCTTGAAGACAGGGAGGCCCCACAGAGAGACCTCGAAAAATTAGAGGACTAGGCAATCACCAACCCTATGAAGTTCAACAAGGGAAAGTCTTGGATTCTGCACCTCGGATGGGGCAACCCTGGATGTTCATGCAGACTGGGGAATGAGATGGTGGAAAGTAGCATTGTGGAAAGGGACCTGGCGGTCCGGGTCGACGGCAAGTTGAATATGAGCCAGCAGTGCCCTGGCAGCCAGGAGGGCCAATCGTGTCCTGGAGTGCATCAGGCAAAGCATCACCAGCTGGTCGAGGGAGGTGATTGTTGTGCTCTGTTCTGCACTGGGGCAGCCTCACCTTGAATACTGTGTGCAGTTTTGGGAACCACAATATAAGAAAGATATTAAGCTGTTAGAGAGTGTCCAAAGGAGGGCAATGAAGATGGTGAAGGGCCTTGAGGGGAAGCTGTATGAGGAACAACTGAGGTCACTTGGTCTGTTCAGACTGGAGAAGAGGAGATTGAGGAGACACCTCATGGTAGTCTACAACTTCCTCAGGAGTGGAAGAGCAGGGGCAGGCACTGATCTCTTCTCTGTGGTGACCAGTGACAGAACGTAAGGGAACGGCCTGAAGTTGTGTTGGGGGGGTTTAGGTTGGATATTAGAAAAAAGTTCTTCATCTAGTGAGTGGTTGGGCACTGGAACAGAGTCCCCAGGGAAGTGGTCACAGCACCAAGGCTGACAGAGTTAAGAAGCATTTGGATGATAGTCTCAGGCACATGGTGTGACTCTTGGGGATGAGAGTTGGACCGTGCAGGGATAAAAGTTGGACTCTATAATCCTGTGGGTCCCTTCCAACTCAGCATATTCTGTGATTCCATGATTCTGTGACCTTAAACACTAAAGAGCTTTTTTGGTTTTCAGGATTTTTGATTCAAATCTTGGTCCAAACTAGTCTCAGTCCAAACAAGTCTAATTACAATAGAGACACCCTTACTCATCTGAAGTGTTTTATCATCTAAGTAACTCCTCTGGAAGAAATCTATTATACATCTAACCAATCCTCTCTTCATAAGACACAGAGGCAATAAGCCCAATGTCCCTCCTTTGTGAACTGTGTTTTCAAACCTGAATGGAAAAGCCTTGCCTGTCATGCTCTCTGTGATGCCCTTTGGCAACACACAATTGGCATATTCAATGTCTGTCAGTCAGACAGATGGCCATAGTTAACTGAAGCTATGGGGAACAAAAGCAGAGAGCCGTATGCCTTGCTCCCCACAACACCATAGCTGGGCTCTCCCTCTCCTTCCCTTCCCCTCTGTAGTAGCTGCAGCTCCACACTGTAGCCCCTTGGAAGCCCGTAGCAAACAAGGCAGCCTGTGCTGTGGTACAGGAGTGTTGACCAGCCAATGAGTATGCACACACTTACTGCCCAAATCTTATGTATTTGGTTGAAATTGGGTGATGAGTCTAAAAGGCTTTTATGAAGAGTCTACAGATAGGCAAACAAAAAAAAAAAAAGACAGATAAAGTGTAGACATAGAACCCTGTTTTCCTAGAAAACTGTCTGAAAATAATCAACTGTAATACATAGTAAGTAATGATTTGCAATTATATAGCAAATTTCATTAACAGACTTAAAAAAAATATTTAATTATTTTTTTAAATATTCCCTCATAGCATGATAACCATTCTATAGATGAGGCAAAGAGAAGTTAAAGCCATGACGACTTTAAGGAAGATCAGTGACAGAACTTGCTGACCAACAAATAGAGGTAAAATTCCCTTACGAATGTTACAGAGAGAAAAGAGAACAGTTGGAAAAAAAGTGAAAATAATTGATTCAGGGAAGGAATATTAAACAATACCAATTTCTTACTTGAGTTATAATTATTCTCCTAGATCACTTATTAATAGATGATGTATTAATTGCAGAATATAATTATTCATCCTAATTTTATGTTCATCTTTCTTTTATGCAATGGAATAGTTTACTTTCTGGATGCAATAATGATATAGATTTTAGATCCAAGGATTTTAATATATCAAAAGGTAGGATTTTACTTTATAAAATATTACCTTTTCTAGAAGTAACCAAAGGAAATTAATTGGTATTTAACTCTGGCAGTAATTTCATTGACTTTAACAGGATGCTAGCTGTGTGATTCACATCACTGACTTTAGAAAGTAAAAAGTACTTTACCTGTTTTGCTGCTGATCAAAAGAACAATTTTGTCCAGTTCTCCCAAATCCACAGCATCCACAACAACTGAAAATGACTAAAATAAAAGTATTCAGTATTGCAATCTCAAACTATATTACTTAACCATATAGGAAAATTTAAAAATAATATATAGGAAGTACAAGAGTGGATTAAAGGGTAAGTTTTAAAGTACTTTAAGGCAGTGTACCTCATTTTCCTCTCCATGCTGGACATTCTGAAATGGCTGGAGAAGAGATCTGTCCCCTGTGTCGCCACGACTACCATATATACATGCAGTCACGTGCACTAAATTTCTCTCACTCAAAATATTTCCAGAAAATACTGTTAGATGATATGTAACCACTGCAATATCAAGCAAAAAGAGATCTTGACTAGGTAACAGTTCTGCAACATCTTCACGTGGCAGGCAGAGCTGTCAACAGTCCCATATGCAGCAAACAGTGAAAATGACCTGGAATCCATCCTGGTGATGAAGCTGGGAGCAGCAGGTGAAAGGGCCAGAGAAGGACTGAAAATAAGGCTACAACATATGTCCAAGGACTGTGCAGAAGACTGGGGCATAGAGAGGAATAGAGTCAGATGCACATCTGAAGTAGCTCAAACATGATCTGAAATGGACATCCTATGCCCGTTATGGCTGGAGGTTCCGGGTGACTTTGGCCAAGGCAAGTAAGATCTGTTGACTTATCATGGCCCTGATACACTGTAGTCAAGTAGAAGTTGCATTGCATGAACTTTGTATCAGATCACAGAGTGGATAGAACAGGCAGAATTCATTGTACAATTGGGCAATTGAGGAAGACTAATGTAGGCAAGGGCAGAGAGCTTAAATGCTTCAACAGCGGTCTTCCTTCAGGTAGTGCGATCAGATTATCATAGCATAAACACAGGCAACCAAGCTTTTGTCTCTGTAGTGTACTGAATAGATTGGAGAGAGGAAAGATGAAAGAAATCTCTGAAAAGAAGTTACATACAATAAGGGTAACATATATGAATGCTACAACTCCTTTAATTTTATAAAATTCAAATTATTTCATAATCTCAGTGTGAATTATGGTTCTTTTTTAACTTTGTGGAAATAATCTATTTGAAAGTAGCATAATGCATTTTAATTTCACCTTTTCAATATTTAATTGTTTTGCCTTAAAAACTACAGATTTGCAAAATTCACCTTCTGTACAGCCCTGTATGTGAGAGGAGAAAGAGAGCAGCATGTCATCCCTGGGGATTCCTGAGGTGTTAGCATCTCAAAGGGATGTACAGTGAAGAGAAACTATTTATGTATATATTCAGCTGGAGGCCTATGCCCATTAATACACCCAAAGGCACATGTGTTCACAGCCAGAACTCAAGGGTCTGTACTGTATTTTATCAACTGTGTTTTGATGGTTTCAATTAGCCGTTAGCCTATGCTTCATCACAGTCCCAAATAGGAAAAAAAAAAGAAAGAGGCAAAAAGAAAATATAACTAAGAGATGAAATATTAAGTCACTCTATGAATGACAGAGCTTTATCTGAAATTTAACAGCACTTGGCTTCTGGTTATGATGATTATGATCAGCTGCTTTCCATTCCAATTAACACAATACTGGTTTTGTTTTTAGCTGAGAAAAAGAAAACTGAGGAGAAAATAAATTAGATTTAGAAAGATGACAGAAAAACGTATCTCTTTTGCACAATAAACTGCAAGTAAGTGTGTGTGTAAAGATCTCTTTGAACTCCACATGTACCACTTGCTGTGACACTGCTTAAAGCTATCTTGGACATAAACAGCAAAGATTTGGGGCAATTATGGTTCTAGTTTTTTCTTCACTGTGGTTACAAAGCCTCTTTTAAGACTTCTAAAGCATGTGTGGAAACAAATAAAAGCCACAGAGATGAGCTATTTCATTTGTTTGTTATTTTACCTAAACACATGGGTAATATAACACCTATTCCTTGTTTGTGATTTTTTTATCTCTCAATCTCAGAGCATTTACAAAGAATAAAAATATTACAAAAAAAAAAAAAAAAAAAGAAGAAAAAAAAAAGGCAAAGAATGGGGAAATTATTTTTTCAACCAAGAGGTTGAAAGTGACAGAACCAGAGTCAGAAAAAGGTCATAGGGATTCCAATCTCACTGCCCCTTTATCACCCATGCTGGATCTTTCTCCCATCGTTTCTGTGTGCTTGTACCTGTATCCTACATACTTCTGCATGTGACAGTGATCAGGCTTTTGCAAGGGGCACAATCATGGCCTTTATGTTAACCTGAAGGTCCTTTTTTTTCAGTCTTGAGCGTAGGAGATGAAATCCATTAAGCCCTGTTTTGCACCCATACTTTGGATGTCTTCAAGTGAAAATAACACCTTTAAGCAATATAAAATCTAAAACCTAAATACAAAATTTACATTATCAATTGCAGCCAAAATATGGAAAAACCACAAAGCCTCAACCTCTATTAATTCTTCTGAGATTATTTGCATACA